TAGAAAGCAATAAAGTTGATTATAGAGCTGTTTCCGATTGGCTCTGACTGTTTGCACCTGACATAAATGGCAAATTTAAGCGGAGGACCTTTACTAATAAGTGTACATTTTCTTAAACCCAACCCATAACTACTCTTCTCCAAAGTTTTTCTGTTGTTATAGTTGCCTAAAAGATAGAAAACTAAAACATCTTTATTCACATTTACTACTAAAACAAAAATGAACCGCCATAAGGCATGGAATGGTATGGAAAGGATGGTACATGGAAAATCCCATCATTCAGTGCAGTTCACTAAGACCTTAATAAAAGCTAATCAGCAGGGGGTTGGAATAGAAGACCTCCAAGGTCCCTTCCAGCCAATTATTCTGGAAACGATCCTTACCTAAGATTTTGCTGACCAACGGTGGCCTTTTGGAAACAGGCAAGTAGACCCCCATGAAGTAGACTGGAATCCCAGAGAGTGCAATTCCAATGCCAATGAGAGAATTAACGGTGTCACTATAGAGTGGCACAACCACTAAAAAAATCGAGCACATACAGAAGACGATTGGGAAAAACAGGCTCAGCTGGAAAACAGAAAACACAGCACTGAATAAGGAGGAGGAAGTGTAAGAAGCCATGTTCCAATTTACAATATTTCCCCATAGTCATTAGAGGAAGTCCTCAACTTACTTTGAGTGCTTTGAAAGTCATTGAATTCAGTACTCGACGCATTCTAAGAGTAATAGCAATAGCATTTAGACTTATATACCACTTCATAGTGCTACACAGCCCTCTCGAAGCGGTTTACAGAGTCAGTATTTCGCCCCCAACAATCTGGCTCCTCGTTTGACCGACCTCGGAAGGATGGAAGGCTGAGTCAACCGTGAGCCAGTGAGAATCGAACTGCCAAACTGCTGGCAGCCGGCAGTCAGCAGAAGTAGCCTGCAGTACTGCACTCTAGCCACTGCGCCACCATGGATCATAATGTGCAAATTTTGTCCCAGTACTCGTTGTTTGTTTGGTATTCAATGCACAAACTGGAACTTGTCAGACTCGTTGCCCTTTCCAGTTTGGTTGGTACTCATCGTTTTTGTTTCTCCCAGAATCAATTAATGACGAGTACCGTGGTACCCCTCTAGTCCTAATCTCTTTGCAAAAAAATCAGTGATTGCTTTTATATAAATGATGGGTTTAATCTTGTGTTATTCCTACCTTGAGTGGTCGATACCGATCCGGTTGCTTCCAGCGGAGGTAGAGCTGTCCAGCAATGGACAACCCGACAAAGAACCAATAGCTGAAACTGAAGTAGTTAATAAGCAGAAAGACATCTTCTACGGTCAAGTAGATGAGGGTCATAGTACACTGTTAGAGAAGATAAGAGAAAGGGCATGAAAAATTCCAAGCACAACGTTTTCTGAATTCTACACAGCAGCAGCACTTCGGCTGACTTATTCTTTTGGCAGTCGGGTCACTTTGGGGCTAAAACATAATTCATGCAGGTGGTCCTTGACTTACAACCACAATGGTTGTAAGAGGTATTATGACTGCAGAGAGAACAAGTTTGGGCAGTTTTCTGGGATCAAACCCTGTCACTTAAAATTCTTCTACAGTGTGAAATTAGTATGAGGGATTGAATTAATATTTCTTTTAATGACCCTGTAATCCAGGGGTCTTCAAACATGGCCGCTTTAAGACTTGTGGACTTCAATTCCCAGAATTCTGGGAGTTGAAGTCCACAAGTCTTAAAGGGGCCAAGTTTGGAGACCCCTGCTGTAATCCCTTGCATTGGGGTGGAGTCGGGGTGACTGAAGAGAGCGTGAGCATTTACAGGACGGATGCCCTTCCTGAGGCCTACGTGGAGTTTGCATTGCGCCCAGAGAGAGAAATATCTGCCGCTGCCTAGGATCGAACCCACAGCCTCCTGATTGTAAAGCGAGAGCTTCACCTGAATAATCGCGGTAAATTGGCTTACATTGAAGAGAAGAGCTGGGACGGGTGTAAACCTTCCAATATGGATCATGGATAGGAGGTCAGGCAGATGACCTTCCCGGGATCCTACGAAGAAGAGCCTGAGTAAAAGAGACGGCATGCTTAATATTCCTGTGCAGTATAAAACTAAGAACAGTCCGCAAATTCTCTCTCCATGCTTTCTATTAAACGAAGTGAAAATGATCTGTCCCAACAGCCAGAAAATTCCATTTAGAACATTGTTTCTCCACCTTAAAGATGTGTGGACTTCAACTCCCAGAATTCCCCAGCTGGAACCGAGAGAAACGACATTGAGAATAGGGAACAGATACAAAGCACAGGTTGTGCCCCAAAACACCTTTGTGGTTCTCGGCACAAGAGACATTTTATAGAGAGAAACAATAGACAACCACAAATGGCGACTCCAGCAGGCCTTAGGGATGGGGGATGGTTTCAGTTATCTCCTTCTGCAATGGGATTAAGCAGGAGATAATTAAAGTCATTTGTTTGTCTCTTCGCTTGTTTTATCGCTAATTCTTACGGTTTTGATCCTGGGTACATACGACTGATATAGCAGATGTTTAAAATCAGCATTAATGAGAATGGGTTATAAACTTAAGCGGATAAACAAATGGCAAATGATATGACGCGTTTCCCGTTTCGGATAAACAGAAACTGTGCTTGGAAAGGTTTAAAAATCAAATCGGAAACTAAATTACACGTCGTCCTCAACTTACGTCCACAAGGCAGCCCAAAATTTCTCTTGCTAAGCGAACAACAATTAAATGAATTTTGCCCCATTTTACGACTTGTCTTGCCACAGTTGCTAAGTGAATCACTGCAGTTGGTAAGTTAGTCGCATGGTTGTTAAATGAATCTCGCTTCCCCATTGACTTTGCTTATCAGAAGCTCGCAAAAGGGGATCACGTGACCCCGGGACGCTGCAACCGTCATAAATACGAGCCAGTTGCCAATGGTCTGAATTTTGATCACGTGACCCTGGGGATGCTGCAAAGGTTGTAAGTGTGAAAAATGGGCGTAAGTCATTTTTTCAATGCAGTTGTAACTTTGGACGGTCACTAAATGAACTGTTGTAAATTGAGGACTACTTGTATATCTTCAATAAGCTTAAACATAGGACGTCCTTGTGGTTAGGGGTACACAGCTTTAAGTATACGAAGGCAAAATTAATTGTTGTTCTTTTACCTGGATGAGGCTAAAATAGAGGCATTCAATCCCCCAAAACAGGACAAAGCAACAGCTATTGGAATGGTCCAGCTGAAAATCCCAAATACTTGGTCAGCAAAGGTCTAACAAGAGAGAAGAGAAAAGGGAGGAAAAATTGTTGTTGTTAGTTGCGAAGTCGTGTCCGACCCATCGCGACCCCATGGACAACGTTCCTCCAGGCCTTCCTGTCCTCTACCATCTTCTGGAGTCCATTGAAGCTCACGCCTCCTGCTTCAGTGTCTCCCTCCAGCCACCTCATTCTCTGTCGTCCCCTTCTTCTATTGCCCTCCATCTTTCCCAGCATTAGGCTCTTCTCCAGGGAGTCCTTCCTTCTCATTAGGTGGCCAAAGTACTTGAGTTTCAACTTCAGGATCTGGCCTTCTAAAGAGCAGTCAGGGTTGATTAGAATGCATTTAACATGCAGTGGAACGGAGATTTCAAAATGTTAAAAGGTTCAGGAAATTCGCAACCAGTCTCTGTCTGTCTCTGTCTGGAACTGAAGTTCAGCTGCAGTCCAACAATTTCAGAAACAAATTTCAGTCTGAATTTATTGTTGGGAACGCCCGATGCATAGAAATCATTGCACACATCCTATGCAGATTAGATTGCTATACTAGTCACCTTCTCTTTGCTCGTAAGCAATATTCCAAATTACCCATTTGCCCCCAAACAATGCTAAATTGAATAATATGTGAGAATAATTTTCTGATACCTTGCTTAGAGAGAGAGAAAACAGTTAATCTTTTTCCGAGAGATATACTCGGTATAAAACTCCCTTTTTTACCACCCTGTAATCCTTTAATTCGGGGTAGAGTAGGGGCAACTGGATGGAGCTGAATCTTTACTGGCTGGCTGCCCTTCCTGACTCCTAGGCAGAGTCCACAGCATATATATATATTGTCCCTAATTACTTTAAAAATACGAATCCCGGCTATGTTTATGCTTTCCTAATCCACTTTCTTATTTTGTTCTATCTCTCTTAACCCTACACAAGATATATCTTGAACGTTTTTCCCATCAAGATCAGCTGAAAAGTAAACTATTCACAGTCTCTCACAAATGGTATCTATGTCTGCAGATCTGGTTTTTTTCATCTCACCCCTAGACCAGCGGTTCTCAACCTATGGGTTGTGACCCCATTTAGGGTCGATCGACCATTTCATGGGGGTCGCCAAGCAAGGCTGTCCGCCATTTTTCCCCCTTTTCCGGTGGGTGCCTTACCTCCCTTTGGCTGGGCCAGCTGGTGGTCGGCCTGCTCCGTCTCTGCCGCTTGCCAGCTACGCCTCGGCCGGCGCAGGGGGCGGAACCACGCATGCATGGCGCTCCCGGGCAGGGAAAGTCCTCAACTTACGACTGGTTGGGTAGTCCTCGACTTACGACCGGTTTAGTCCTCAACTTACGACCGGTTTAGTCCTCGACTTACGACCGGTTGAGGGTCGCGGCATTAAAAAGGTTGAGAACCACTGCCCTAGACCTAACGGACTTTAAATCCCAATTTAACGCAAATATATTGTCATTCTGTGACTGCCATCCAACGTATACACCTTATCCATAACCCAGTGACTAGCAAACTACCACAAGCAACTTTCTCACCATCAGTAGTACTCAATAACTTTTTTTTCCTGCAATCTCCAGAACACCCCTGTTGTCAAGCTCAGCGTCTTTAACCAATGAGCCATTGGGTTCTCCCCCCCCCCATCTCAAAGTATGAATGGACAAATATGTACATACCGGAACTCACGAAACAAGAGGTATTCGGTGAGTTCCTGAAACACATGGTTCTTGCTAAATTAAATGGAGAGAATTACAGAAAATACTGCCCTAGAATAGCAATGTACACAGAGAAAACTGCAGCCAGTGCAACTGGTTGCTTAGTAACTGCTTGATGTTATGATGGATCTCCTCAAAAGGAACTTATAAGCTGGTTTCAAAATTCCCGATATCACCCTCCAACTATCCGGCGACCGTTTGCAGCTGTTTGCAACACTTTGTGATTATTTGGACACAATTTAGGATGTTTTTCCAGAAACTTGGCCTTCGAGTTTCCACCAAAATCCAGCCCATAGCAAACAACGGGCTCACTTAACAACTATGGGGTTCGCTTTAACTGCAGCGTTGACTTAATGACTGCTGCAAAAAACATCGTAAGGTCGCGTCTAGTCACGTGGGGACCCATTTTAAAATTGTCACGGCCTACAACTGTAATTGCTACGCTCAATTCTGGTCACAAGTCATTATATTCGCTGAACAAAGTTCAGAATTAGGAGCGGCAACAGGGTGGAGATAAATGCTGTTATCATCAGTGATCTAAACATGTCTGAGCTCATGATAAGCACCTGACCATCCCTTCCACAGATGTTCCACCCACTCAGTCTTTATTTATTTTTCCTGCAGATAGATGAATCCCTGATAACCGATGAAGAATTCCTAGGTGCAGTAAATAAGACGTTGGTGCTGATCACAGGCCTGTCCGTTGGCAGTATGACAGATGGGTCTCCCTATCTGTAGGATCTGTACTCAACGATTTACATTTTCACGGGTGGTTACTGGAAGCTAAGCCGTACGATGAACAGTTACAGGAACTGGGAGTATCTAAACTAATGAAGAGAAAGACTAGAAGTCACAGGATAGCACTCTTCCAGTAGTTGAGACGCTGTCATAGAAAACATAAAGCAGTCCCTGCGGATTTTATTCCGCTAGTCATTACCGATTATAGGGGGTGATGTTCATCTCCGTTTCAAGGCCATTGAGCCAAACACTGTCCAAAGACATTTCCACAGTCACGTGACCAGCATGACATCATGGAGTGCTGTTATCTGATCACCAAAGTGGTACCTATTTATCTACTTGCATCTGCATGCTTTTGAATTACTAGTTTGGCAGGAGCTGGGGTGAGGACGGGAGCTCATCCCCTCACATGGCGCTCAGGTTTCAAACCGGGCTGCCGGCTTTCCAGCCAACAAGCCCATCATGCTTAACCGCCAAGCCACCATGCTGTCCTATCATAGAAAAGAGGTGGTAGATTTAATCTCCAAAGCACCTGAGGACAGGATAAGTATAATGGATAGAAAAACACCAAAGAGAGATGCAACCTGAAAATAAGGAGGACAGTGAGAATAATTCATCAGTGGAATAGCTTGCCTCCTGGAGTTGTGGATGCTCCGTTGCTGGAGGTTTTAAGAAAAGTTTGGACAGCCATTTAACTGGGATGGTATAAGGTTCCTGCCTTGAGCAAAGGGTTGGATTAGAAGATCTCTAAGGTCCCTTCCAGTCCTATGATTCTACATGCTACTTCCAACTTGGCTAACACAAATGCAGAAATGCTCCTCAAGAATTTCCTGAGAGTGACAACAATGTCTTGCCTCCAGAAGTTGTGGGTGCTCCATCACTGAAGGTTTTTAAAGAGGAGACAGGACAGCCATTTATCTGGACTGTTAGAGGGTCTTCTGCTTGAGCAGGGAATTGGACTACAAGACCTCCAAGGTCCCTTCCAAACTCTGTTATTCTGTATTTATCATACTAAAAAAAATAGCTGCTCTTGCCTGCATTCAGTCTAAGGCTGGGTGGATTTTAACCTCTATCTTTTTCAGGAAACTTGTGTTCATCCAATGCATTTGAGCAGTCAAGCTGACTGATTTTATTCTGCCTGAGATGCATTTCATATCGAAATACAAATTCTAATTTCTGAGGGTTACCAAAGCCTCTCTGCTCTTGTTCAGAAGAAAAATGGGGACTCTTGAAACAGAAACGAATACTTCTTAATACATTAATACCTCAACGAGAATTTAAAGGTGTAGCTTAAAGGAAGTCACAACATTAAGGAACAGATTAAATAGAACCGTTATTGCAGAACCATAAATGTATTAATATATCACAACTACAGGCTTGCTCAATGAAGCAAACTTACATGATTAAGCACAGCAATTACTTGTTTATCAGATTGTAACTGATACACTGAAATTGTTTGGCTTATTTGTTTCTGCTCTAGGCCTGGGCAAGGTTTCTCAGCCAAATAAACACAACATAAGCAAGTGGAATCTTGCTCAAAACTCATCTCATTTCCGTTGGTTCTTTTTGTAATTTAACAGGGCAGGAAAAATCTTTATTTACATGCTTTTAAACAGAGATACAAGCCAGCCTCTAAGGGTTTTATCCTTTAAAAACGGAAGAAATTCAGAGGTTAAAACAAGACCAAGAAAATAAGTCCATTGGTAGAATGTATGGATGTGCAAAAAACAAACAAACTATGGAATCAAAATAGAAAATGACACATACTTTCTTCTAAAGATCCTCACTAAACTTCACTTAAACTGTCTCTGCTTTTTACAAACATGTGCCACTGAATGGACAAGTACGCTTGTTTTATAGGTAATCCTCGATTTACAACAGATATTCGCCACTATTGCAAATGTTCATTTTTTTGCTCTGTACAAGGTCTCATCAGCAACGAACCCAGAGATACCACTTACAACCTGCTAAAAGCAGAAGTACTCCTCGTTTCACTGCAGTTTTAGTAAAATGTTTAGGGCCGTGGGTCTCTAAGCTACCCTGAGGTGTTATGAAACTGGGCCCAATTTGCCAGCCTCTCCGGCGGAATCACCCGCAGGGAGGGACAGAATGCAAAACGACATTAATTGCATTTTCCTCCTTTTAAAATCAAAAGGGTTTTACCTTAAAATCACAGCTGAGGGTAACTGGTGATTTAATCCAATAAATCTTCACTTAGTTTAGCACACATTTCAACTCAGCCTCCTGATTAAACGTCAAAATCAGAGGAAATGCAATTTTCCCCAATTAGTCACCAGGTATATCAAGCTCCAACAATATTTCTAAACCCAAATGACTGCCAAATCACTCAGAGATAAAAGGCATAACTCGGCCTTCTTTTTTCTTTCAAGCGGAAAAGTTAAACAGTTATCAAGCTATTAACAACCGGGGAAAAAAATAGAAACAAGGTCATTGCAATAACAGGAGAACCACAATAGCCCAATATAATTTTTTTTTTCAGGCAGATGCACAGACTCAAAAGCCAAATCCTAACAAAACAAATAACAAGGACAGACTTACCACCGCGACTGCATCGCTAGAAAGTATAGCATTAATATCCAGCACTGTATAGTAAGCTATATTGGTCAAGATGTAGATAATTGTCACAATTGGCATAGAAATAGCAATAGCTAGAGGCAGATTCCTGGACAAATAAAAAAAGAAAAAAGAAAGAAAATACTTCAGTATTAGTCACTAGGCACCCTTTTTTCCTCCAACAAACAAGTGCTTGAAGCCTAGAATATCGTCTGCTCATATTTACAGTGATTATAGAACCATGTGAAAGTTTAAGAAATGCATTAAAGCACATTAGGTTTTTCAAAAAGTGCTTTATTTACATTATTCTGGGACCCATCTGTTCCAGAGGCTGTCAATGTGTACTGATTATAGCACACACCAGAAGCTCACATGATGTGAGGATCACATCAGAAACTCACATTCTGTATTCCTTCCCAGTCACTGTATATGAAAAGTCAACATATCGAAAAAGGAGAATATTTCACAGGGTTGAAATGTGGGGTCCTTGGTGCTTTCTGAGCTTAGTCATCTTCTTGCAGATGTTTCATTACCCAAGTAGTTAACATCATCAGTGCTAGAGAGGAGGAGGAGGAGGACTATGGGTCCTTGGGGCTCTCATCTCTTCTCCCTGTTTTTGTTCCATAAAATTTCTTTCAGACCACAGCTCTTGGTATTGCCAGTCCAAATGCATGGTATAACTATTTTATCCTTCTTTGCTTAATGTTATTGGATAAAAAAAATGGAGAAGCAGGTAGTAATATACAAGAAAGTGATAATTTGGGAATAATATTTGCATAACCTTAATACCATAGGTAAGACTGATTAACTAGGAATCTATCTGTTTGGAATATTTTGTCAGGCATGAAAGAGCGGGTCCACATCTGAGGTGTAGTTAAACCGATTTATTGCTACTCATGCCTATGCACAGGAATATTCTGAATAAGAGTTAGCACTCACTCGGAATTAGATAAAGGTCAATGGAATTCAAGAGAAGTTGGATTTAATTCACTTGTGACTATGAAGGGATTCTAGGCTGATCCCTCTTTTAACTCTGTCCCCAGATTCTGCCACTCCTTCTCCTACATATCTACAGTATAACATACACAGTACTTAGCACTCTATCCCACCTTGCAATTTTTAAATCAAACTGTACAAAACATTTACAGTTCAACCCTACTGTATTATAGAAATTTAAGCCATAAAAAGCGGGTATGCTCAACTATTATCAATTCAGCGAGCAATGTTCTATGTTGCCTAACTTTGCTTTAATGAATCTCTTCAACTTCATAATTCTGTCCTTCTCCCCTTATATCTGCAGGATTCAGAGAGACTGATCTTGATGCAAACTGTTTCCTTCGTTTCTGGGATCAAACTCCTTGTCAGCTGAAAACTTGGCGAGGGTCTTTCAACTTTGTGAGGGTTTTATTTGTTAAAAATAAAAGTTCCCAGAAGCTCTTACCTTTCCGGATTTTTTATTTCTTCAGTTACAAAATTCAGTGTGTCCCAACCTGAGTATGAGAACAAGGCAGAATAAAGTGCAAGAGAAATCCCTCCGAGGTTCCAAGATGATCCCTCAAAAGAGTCCTGAAAATGTTCTGAGTATCCTGGATATAAAAGAAAAACAGAGGAAATAAATGCAACCTTGGAACATACAAAACAAAGTGGTTGGCTTAGGACAAGGGGTAGGCAACCTTGGCTCTTTTATGACTCGTGGACTTCAACTCCCAGAATTCCTGAGCCAGCCATGCTGAGGGGGAAAGGGAGAGGCTTCCAAGCTGAGCCAGGCTGGCTCAGGAATTCTGGGAGTTGAAGTCCACGAGTCATAAAAGAGCCAAGGTTGCCTACCCATGGCTTAGGACAACATAACAAGAAAAATGCCAACTCTACACAACCCGATACCTATAATAGGACATAAGACAATATCTAATATGATCTCACAAGATTGCTGAATCTGTCGGGCAATACATTTAGAACAAGTGTCTCCAACCTTGGCAACTTTAAGACTTGTGGACTTCAACTTCCCAGTGTGTGACTGAAATTTGCAAACCAAACAGGAATAAAGAAGTGGGTTTTTTAAATTGAGTATCATGATAAGCTTACAACAACAGCTCAGATACTGTAGCTCATAAGAAAAACAGATTAGCAAGGCCAGGTGGCCGAAACTGAACAATGGACAAATAACAAAGGAAAAACACAAGTATGACTAGAGGAAAGGGATTCGTAGATCTTGGCTTCAAAATACAAGCAACCTTGTCAGCAATAAGCATACAAGGGTCACCAAAACAGCTTTTTGAGGTCATTCCCATCATTGGTTTATAGGACAAAGTTTGTTCAAACAGTAATATAATTTAAGTACCCTACACATTTCTGGATCAAACTAAATGTGGTATTAACTGGATGAGTTAACAACTGGCTCTCGCCCATGCTGAACACCCAGTGCAGAGAACTTTAAACAAGACATAATCTATACATTAAAACAAATCCGTAAATGATTCTACGAGATTCGAAAAGCGGATGTAGAAGTCACGGCTTTATTATAAAGTTCCCAAAGTTGTAGGAAACTGATTGGTCGATCCAGATACAACATGAAGCCTTCACTTAGACCAGTGTTTCTCAACCTTGACAATTTTAAGGCATGTGGACTTTCAACTCCCAGAATTCCACAGCCAGCATTGCTGGCTGTGGAATTCTGGGGGTTGAAGTCCACATGCCTTAAAATTGTCAAGGTTGAAAACACTGACTTAGACTCTGAGAAATGTAATAATCACTCACAGTTGCTTCATAGTGAGATAGGAAGGAAGGAAGGAAGGAAGGAAGGAAGGAAGGAAGGAAGGAAGGAAGGAAGGAAGGAAGGAAGGAAGGAAGGAAGGAAGGAAGGAAGGAAAGAATTGGATCTGTAAAATGGGTGCATTGACTTACAACCAACATGACATACAACAGCGAGGACTAAAGGTAACCAACTTACTATAGAATACTGTAAAGCTTTTGTGGATTAAGTTCCTTTTATCAGATGTAGGGAGCATTTTCTCAAAAGAACAGTACACACACCACTACAAAAATGTTTAAAAGGGGGATAAGAGGAATATGAATTATGGAAGAGCTTGGCAGAGCCAAGTACAAATAAATAATGAATGTTTCTTAAAATATGTGTTGGGTATAGCATAAATCCATGCGGATTAATGCTGTAGCTCAGCCACAGTGTTTCTCTCTGTTAAATCCAGTGAAAATACTGCTAAACCGTTAGTTCCAGCTCAGCTTATATCACAATTTCTCATTCACCCCTACCCAGAGATTCCTTAAGATGAAAGACCTATTTTTCATAAAGAGGAATTGTTCACATTAAGGAACTCTTTTAACACAGGGGTCCCCAACCTCTGAGCCACAACCTAATCATAGCTGGGCCGTGTGAGAATCATATGCACGCAGCTCAACTCATGCGAGCATCGGCTGGCATGAGTGCGCACACAGTTCAAATTGTGTAAGTTGAGCGGCACACATGTGCGCACCAGCCTAATGCTCACGCAGGACTAGAATTCCCATTCTCCCAGTTTCTAACCTGGTGTCTTTGACCACGACACCCAACTGAATCTCAGTGCAAAACGATCGATACAAACCTCTGTATATTCAGCTATAAATCTTACCCTGGCATAGTTTAACAATTCCTGTCACGATGATGACAATTAGAGCAATGACTTTGGCATAGGTGAATGCATCCTGCACCCTTGTTCCCCACTTAACATAGGCACAATTTATAAACGTTAGAAGACCTACAAGACAAAAAAAAAAAAAAAAGGAAGCAAGGAAGGCATTAGAAAGTGATGGTGATGCTGGTTGTTTTAAAGCAAGCCCTGGTGTGAAATTCTCTTCCATGCCAGAGTGAACAGTCACAATGCCATATTAGCAAACAAGTTTAGCAGGTTGTGTTAAGGTGGTTTAAAAAAGGGCACTCGGCCAATTTGCTCTTTGACACTTCCAGTGGCAAAACAGGAAGGATCTCATCAGGCAAACACTAGGGCAAGTGTACCGAAAACTTGAAAATATTGTTCGTTTTCAGACTCTCGTTTGGGATCCACGCCTTTTAAATGAATTCAAACGTTTCTTTTTAACGGACACATTTTTGTTGAAATAGGAAATGCCACCTCAAATCTGTCATTTGGCAACAAAAACAGTTGGAGGGTTTTGATTTTAAAGAAAAGTTGCGGTATCTGAAGGACAGGAAAAAAATAGAATTAGTTCCAACCTATTTCTGCATCATTTTAGCAGGAACTATCCCTTTCTGATTATATGTTTCCTCAGCTGTAGGACTGTTTTTGAAAGTACAGATACAATTAGATGCATGGTTCACATCCAAAAATATACAGTAGCAATATATTTTTTTTAAAAAGTTGGTTTCCCCGTTAATGAAACCTCAAGGCCTTCAACAATGCCAGAGCTTCTGATATCCTACCTTCACTTGAAAAGTTGGAATACATTTAGAGATGTCTCTGCCTTGAAAAGAGCCCATAGTGAACTGTATAGCACAGTCAAACAACAGCACGGGGGATGTTTTATATGACATTTTATATTGTGTCATAAAGTACTGTGTGGTAATGTTTATGTCATAAAATGTTTTATTAAAACTTGCCAAATGTCAATGCCTAGGGACCGGTAAGGACATTGACACCCACAGAATCATGGGACCTGGATTTTGAAACAATATATTCTTTCAAAAACTGTTGTCCTGTGATCCATGGTTTTGCTCAGTTAATGATTATGTGAATAAGACTTTAGTACTTTATTGTCAGACTTGGGGAATCAAGACATATTAAGTTCCAGTTAAGAAGATCTATTTCTCAATCGTTTGCACAAAAATCTAGTCAACTAATGGTCAGCACTAAATTGGCACTAGGTAAGACTTAATGGAATTCGGGGGAGGGGGTGCTGGACTTGGATCAATTGTGGGAACGTAACGACTCCAGACTGATTCCTCTCTTGACTCCGCACCCAGGCTCTGCCTCTTCTTCTCCTCCATGTATAGATGGACTTCGACTCCCAGAATTCCCTAGCCAACATGCTTTTCAGTTTGCTTTTCAGCAGTTGGGACTGTTATCCGTTTCAAAGGGCATCCCAACTTCGTAAGCTTTTCAAAAGCTACTTACCTACTATCCTTCCATAATGCAGAAGTTGTTTCTCTTCACTCATGGCAGCTCAACCCACCAAACTCAACTCTGTATCTTGTCAGAACCCAAATAACTTATGAAATTGCTCAGTAAACACCACTGTGATGAAATCCTTTCTCCTCAATAGACTCACAGGGTATGTGTCTGGTTGCCATTACGCAAGTTTACATCTATTGCAGCTGTAACCCAAGCTGCTGAGATCACTTATTACCCTGGAAGAAAAGATCTTTACACACCCAAGGAGTATCCACCCGGGATGATTAATACTCTGGCATATATTGTACCCATCTATGAGTAGTGGAACTCTTGACTCAACACAGTAATAAACAAGCTTTGCCTTCTCTCTAGAATGTCCCAATAAATTTTTAAGCTTCCAATTAGTAAGTCTCTTTTTATTTGGTTCCTATTGAGAAGCACCAGCTTAATTAATACATTTCCATATGATTCTCATAAAGCTGAATTGTGAAGTGTTTAATAAAAACAACAGATATTATCATGCAATCATGGAAACAATAAATCAAAACAATGTAAAAACACGTTCTTGGTTTAGGGGAGAGAGTTGAAAAACACACCAAACACTGAGCATTTTTATAGGGAAGATCTAGACTAGAAAAAAATATATATTTGTTAACAGATGCCTACAAGATTTGAAGCACTTCGGATTCCTGGGGGTGACCACTGTAGCATGGAGGAAATCCATAGACCAGTCTTTCTCAACCTTAACAACTTTAAAGATGTGTGGATTTCACCTTCCAGAATTCCCCAGTCAACATGCTAGCTGGGGAATTCTGGGAGTTGAAGTCCACGAGTCATAAAAGAGCCAAGATGGCCTACCCCTGCTCTAGGGCATGGCAGACCAACAACACAGGAGGATCCACTTCTGATTCTCCTTCCCTCCCCCCCAGCTCTGATGGAAGCAAATTCAGACCTGAGGACCTGTGTAGAATACTCACATACACAAGCAGCGGCAATGAAACGACAAGCAATGTACGGAGGCTGGCAAGAAGGGAAGACTGGCTGCACAATATAGTTGGCAAAGGTTATCGCGATGATAGCCTGGCTGGTTGGCTCAATGATCAACAGCGACGTCCACAGACGTATAAAAGCAATGAAGCTTCCAAAGGCCTCTAAGATATATGCATAACTGGCTCCTGACTTGGTGATCGTGGTGCCCAGTTCAGCGTAGCAGAGGGCTCCGATCACGGAAAACATCCCGCCCAGGGCCCAGATGACGAGGGATAATCCATAGGACAAACTGTAGTTAAGTACTCCTTTGGGAGAAACAAATATCCCGGACCCAATCATGTTTCCTACTATAAGGCAGATGCCGTTAAGGAGGGAGATTTCTTTTCTCAGCTGCATAGTTCTTTGGTCTCCACCATTCTTTTGAGCGTTGTTGCTCGGATCCGTTTTATCAGCTGTCCTGATTGGCTGGTACTCATTCAGGGAATTAAGAGGTGGAAAGTTCTCCCTCTTCTCCATGATGACATCCACAAGGCGTCCACTGCTAACGCCGATGCCAAACTAGAAGAAAAAGCAGGATTAAAATCTGATATTTTAGACATATGGCATCAGGCCAAGAAACTAGAGCCACTCGTGAACAGCTTGAGTCAGCAACTTTATTGACTTCTTCCTATATTACAAGAATCTCCCCAGACTGCTTTCCTTCTCCAGGGAGCAAGCAGATAAAGCTTCATGAGGGAAGGACGAGAAACAATGGTTGTAAACTGATCAAAGAGAGAAGCAACCTGGAATTAAGGAGAAACTTCCTGACAGTGAGGACAATCAACTAGTGGAACAGCTTACCCCCAGAAATCGTGAGGCCCCCATCACTGGAGATTTTTAAGAAGAAACTGGACATTCACCTGAGATGGTATAGGTTCTCCTGCTTGAGCAGGGGGCTGGGCTAGAAGACCTCAAAGATCCCTTCAAGCTCTACTCTACTCTACTCTACTCCTACCAAAGGTGATCTTGGACCAGTCACTTTCTCTCAGCCCTAGGAGGGGGGCAATGGCCAACCACTTGTGAAAAACCTTGTCAAGAAAACTGCATTGATTTTTCCACGCAGTCTCTGAGAATTGGACATGATTGAACTGAATAAATTGTTTTAGTAGACTAACTTCTATGTTACGCAAAAGCTGGCTTCAAGGTAAGACCTGGCCAGGACCACAGCTGATAGTTAGTTAGTTAGTTAGTTAGTTAGTTAGTTAGTTAGTTAGTTAGTTAGTTAGTTAGTTAGTTAGTTAGTTAGTTAGTTAGTTAGTTAGTTAGTAGGAAAGCTGCTATTTGGAATTCAATTCCTGTACTAGTTTCATTCAGAGATGTTTTGTTAAAGAATCCCAATAATTCTAAAGCAGGGACTTGGAAAACTCACTGCTAATCAGAACAGACACTAATGGGGCATAAAGAACTTAGGAACACTATTTCACACAGTAGCATCTCAAGGAGCCATGAATTATGTAACTCTTTCTGACATAGTCATCTCAGGGGGGGAAATGTCATTGCCAGTACATCCCGGTTAGAAAAAACATTTACTTAATCATAGTAGCATGCATGCACAGAACAATAGGAGAGGAATTAATTTATCTAGTCATATCTGCACAGTTGCTATGTTCTGGAGTAGCAAAAGGCAGCAAAAAGAAGCATAACAAATCACCTATTTAATTACGTATATTTCACAGATTTTCAAAAGGTTCCTTTGCAGTTTGACAGCACCGACTGCCGCTTACAGCTCTTTTGCAATCTCTATTCATTTCAGACGACATTAAATAAATTTAAAATTGTTTGCAGGGTCCAGCAATCACATGACTGCAATTTATGATGCTTTTTTCTTCTTCTGGAAAACTTCCAGTTTCTGGTAGAAACACCCATTAAGGGTTCACTCGACAATATTGTCATTTACTTAAGAATCGCCGTGAAAAATGTTGTAAAATTGGGTCAATCACAAGACAACCTGTTTAACAAACAGCACAACCTAAACTGTAATAATTCTAGGCTCAATGATGGTCATAAGTTGAGAACTACCTGTAAATAAACAGGCAGCAAGCCTCTCTCATGCACTGATGACGTTCCCTAGATGGGTCATAAAATGTCTGCAAGCAAATAACCAAAGCTCAGACAGCATCAAGGACTCTACAGGTCATGAATACCCGCCTTGGGTTTTTTTGCTGCGTTCCAGACAACCAAGATATTGCTGACTACAAATACAATAAATTCTACAGATTAATAAGCTGGGGTGGTGGAGGCGAATATTTCTATTTATTGCAACAAAACAAGTTCATTAGAGCAAGTGGTCTACCTAGGTCTCAACAGGTAACCATACCTGGCTGAGTTTAGTTGGGTTGCAAAGCTAATCAGGGCCAGGTTTGAACAGGTGCAGGTAAGCTCAGAGCTAAAGAGTAAACAAGGAAATCAAAGTTAAAAACAATAGGTCATTCCTCCCATATGGCCAAGGAAATTGCAGAGATCCAGGCGTGCAGTCACAAGCTGACTCCAAGATGTGTTTTTTTCTTTACCTTTAGCCCAGTTGGCACTCCAAACATTTTTACTATTTACATTTTAAGTAACCGAAACAGATGAATACGACTTATATATAATGTGTTAATTATATCAGTAAAAATGCTTATTTTATTAAGGACACAGTTAATGTATATGCAACGCCATGAAATAAAACAAGAGGCCACGGCTTCTTCACTGTCAATCTTACTAAGAGCATAAACTTGTCAACATCTTCACCACCTCAATAGCAGGCACTACTGATTCCATTTCCTAGCCTGGTTTTAGCCGACCAGAAAAACATTCTCCTCCTGTAGATTGTTGCCCTTTTCCATTAAAAAACTTAAAAAGCTAACAAAATCCTAGGCTGCATTAACAAAGGGATAGAATCGAGATCACGTAAAGTGTTAGTACTGCTTTATAAGCCCTTGGTAAGACCAACTTGGAATAAATACGGCATCTGGTTTTGATCACCAGAAATTAAAAAAAAAAGATGTTGAGACTCTGGAAAGAATGCAGAGAAGAGCAACTAAGATGATTAGGGAGCTGGAGAATAAAAGATGGGAAGAACGGTTGCAAGGATTGGGTTTGTCTAGTCCTAATGAAAAGGACTCGGGGTGACACGATAGCAATGTTTCAATATTTGGGGGCTGCCTCAACCTAATTCTCCAAAGCACCAGAAGGCAAGACAAGAAACAGTGGATGGAGACTCATTAAGGAAAGAAGCAACCTAGAACTAAGGAGAAATTTCCTGACCGTGAGAACAATTAACCAGAAGAACGGGTTGCCTTCAGAAGTTGTGGGTGCTCCAACACTGGAGGTTTTTAAGAAAGGACTGGACAGCCACTTGTCTGGAATTGTATAGGGTCTCCTGTTTGAGCAGGGGGTTGGACTAGATGACCTCCAAGGTCCCTTCCAACTCTGTTATTCTGTTATTAAATAGCAAAAACTTCTTCACTAAGAACAACCTGGTTTAATTAAGCTTGTTTAAAGTATAGCAGTAATAATAGTGGTTAAACCCCCTGCTAAATATAAATAAATAACTCTCTCACTCGACATTAAGTAATAGCCGGTTATGAGTTCATCTGTTTCTTGTTACAGTTTGTTTTATTTCTAGTTTCCTTCTTCTTTTTCAGACTTTAGCCACGAGATATTTTAATGGCTGTAGGAGTATACCTGTATTAACCTGCAAATCTGAGTTTCAGAAACTGAGGGAAGGCAAATTAAAATACATTAAAATCTGTATTTCATTTGTGAATCAAATAATCATACTGGTTATGAGGTTGTTGAACAGAAATATAGAAGAAGAAAGAAGTATTTTCAAATACCACTTCCTGCTTTTTTTTTATCCTGAATGATTACTCAGCAAATCTAAAAATTTATGTTGGTCATGTTTTTCCAAGGATTTTCATTGTTTTATAGCCAAATATTTTGTTGTTTACAAAAATTCAATCCTAAGCCAAAATTTTTCAGTGCTCAAACCATGTGTTTCTTTACAGGAATATTTTAAGGCACATTTCTCAGAACACTTGGGACTCAGTTCCCGGAAGTACCAACCTAACTCAGAAAGAACTTCATGTACGTCAATTATTTTAAACCAGCCTCTTTCTTGGGAATTTTTTCACTGAGTGCACCTCAGTGATTTTGAACAAGTAGTTCATTTTCGCCTTAACCAACACAGTGTCATTATATAAGTAAAACTATAAGAAAAACACCATATTCCATTTATAGCATCTTGAGTTTCTTAGGTCAGACTTCAACTTGACTTTAAAAAAAAAGAAAGAAATCCTGAATTTAGCTACATAACATTTCGACTTGAAGTAATACATTAGATAAATCACAAACTATACTCCGGCTTTTATGTATTACATAAATACTGTATCTTGTAAAAATAGGTTACAGTTTAATGTGTGCAAATGCAGCCAAGTATAATTTAGCCCTAAAGCATGATTTGACAAAAACACAGAGGAGATTCTGTTAGGTTCAAAGATGCCAACAGATAGAGTAACTCATATTCAGCAAATGCTGTAGATGGATACATAAAGAGAAAGCAGTGATTTTAATGCCAGCAAATTCTGCAGTGTTTATTGTATAGTAAAGTCTATCACTGCCTGTTCTGATCTGGGCATGTTTTGGTATGAAAGATTGGTATCCAAACGTGGCAACTTCAAGACTTGTGGAAACCAACTCCCAGAATTCCTCAGCCAGCCATGCTCCCATTTGGGCAGCTGAATTTCATCAGTCTTAAAGTTGCCAAGTCTGGACACCCTGGTGTAAAACTTCCACTGGGCAAAGAGCTTAGGAAGCATGACAATGTTGTAATCCATCAGATCTGGAGATCACCAGGCTGGGGAAAATTATGCACCAAAGGGCCAACACAAGTTGTAACAACAGACGTACTCCCACCATTTTTGTAGTAAAGGAACTGGGTAGCTATTGGTTGGGATCCAACTGCTGTCTGGCCCTTTTCTTAAAACAGTAGGAAATAATCAACTCTCAGTTAATCTCCAGGGAGATTATTTGCTTGGCAAAATATCACGCTAAGCTGGGATTTGCTTAAGCATGATTTCCGAATATTGCTGGCTAAGTCCACTGCATGAATCATAACTGCTGAGGTGCAAACCACACCAACACCACTTAAAATTGGGGTCACGTGACCATGGTATGCTACAAGCAGCCATGAATGTGAGCTGGTTTCCATCACACAACTGGAAGGGTGTCTGTGAGAACTTCAAAAACTGGTCATAAGTAGTTCTGGGAGGCCCGTTGTAACTCTGAATGGTCATTAAATAACTGGTTGTTATGCAAGGGCTACTAGCAGTATCTCAGGTAGCCAATTAATTTTTTTCCCTAGGGGAAAAAATTGTGGGGGGGGGGGAGAACTGGTTTTAAGCCATGCTGAAGTCCGTTGCTAGTTCATTGCTTATCTTTCCTTTATTACAACCAAGGATTACAACTGTCTTTAATTTTAAGTGCATTCTATAAAC